GCGGTCCGCCTAGACTTGTGGACTACTAGTGGCGCCTAGGGTCGCCCCTCACCCCAATTCAACGACAGATTAGCGGTGCGATTGGTGGGGACGAAAAGGTGCAGCAGGAGACAGCAGCAGCTGCTCTGTGTCTCTGTCTGTCGCTCTCCCCCCGCTCCTCTCTCTCTCTCACACTCGCGTACAATCTCAAGCTGCAATCTATCTTTATCTTTCCTCGTCTAGCGTGGGCGTATGAACGTCTAGCCGAGCAACGCGGAGAGGCGCTCTGCAAGTCTCGCTGACAATTAGTGGAGGGACGCCAGAGTGATTAGAATAATAATAAATATGAAATACATGTATCGCTATTCATGAGCGCGGTGCTTGGTGCAGTGCGGCGTGTGCCATGAGGCAGGGGCCGCAGAGGCTGAGCCATGGGCCGCCCTTGGCTGCGCTCACACACTCAAACGTGCGAGTAGTGCCACGGCGCCTCATGGCCCGCCTCATGGCTCGCCTCACGGTGCAGTGCGTGTGCCGCGTCGAGTGGAGCGCAATGCATGGAGAGGTCCTGCACGATCATGGTAATGTGTGTCCTGGATGATGATGATGGCAGCGGTGAGCGCAGAGGGGTGGTTGGTAGCGTGCGGTGGCAGTGTGTGTGTGTGAGTGTGTAAGTGCGTGTATGTGAGAGGAGTTTGTGCATTTCGCAGCCCGGCGCGCACGCACGGCGCCTCTCCTCCACAAAGGGGGCAGGAAGTCCTCCGCCCAGCGCCCCGCCCGGCCCCGCCCCTCGCCGTGGAGGCCGTAATGGTCGCGTCCTTCCTATCGCTGTGCTCCGTGCTCATCCTCGTGCTCATCCTCGTGCTCATCCTCGTGCTCATTCTCGTTGCTCATCCCTTCTCTCTTGTGTGCCCGCAGGCAGCGCGTGCTTCAGCGCCATGCACTCCAAGCGCGGCCTGTGCCTGCCCGCCTCGCGCTGCGCCGCCGTCCGGGACGACATCGTGGCGGACCGCTACCCGGAGATCTGCTCTTTCGTCGGCCGCGAGCCCGTCGTCTGCTGCCCGTGCCCGCCGCCCGCCGCGCTCTCGGACGAGGAGGCCATCTTCTTCCCGCACGCCGCGCACGAGCCGACGCCCGACCGCGACTTCGATTCGTGCAAGCATGCCTACTCGTACGGGCCGCACCACCGACCGCACAAGCCGTACCCGCCCAAGCCGACCAAGCCGTACCCGACCAAGCCGGGCTACCCACCCAAACCCGGCTACCCGCCGAAACCGACAGACCCCTACCAGCCAGGATACCCGCCACAGTCGCCCTACCCGCCTTACCCGCCAGGCCAGAGGCCGCCTCAACCTCAACACCCGAACTACCCGTACCCCAAGCCGCCGCCTACCTACCCCCAGCCACCACCCGGCTACCCACAACCTCAGCCCGAGTACCCTCCGGGCCAGCCTCCGTACCCGTACCCGCCGCCACACCCGGACAGACCCCCGCAGCCCTACCCCCCGTACCCCGGACCCGGAGGCGTCGCACCGCTGCCAGAAGAGCCGCCGTCCAAGCCGTACCCTCCTGAACAGGGGGGCGCTACCGGCTCTCGGCCTCCAGGCTACCCCCAGGAGGGCGGCCCCCCGTACCGGCCCCCGAGGCCCCCGACGTACCCGGAGCAGCCTCCCGAGGAGGGTGGCCCGCCGCCGTACCGACCCGACAGACCCCCGCCGTACCCGGAGCAGCCCGCGCCCTCGCATCCTGGTGGCATCATCCCCCTGCCGGAGGAGCTGCCCTCCAAACCCGGCTACCCTCCCGGACACCCCTCGCTGCCGGTAGGGCCCCCGACTCCCCCCGGACCTCCGTCGGGCCTACCTCACCGTCCGCCAGGTGGAGGGGGAGGATACGGCTCCGACTCCAAGCCACCCGGACTGCCAGACGACTACTTCAACAACGTCCCTCCGATCCCGGACCTCCCCGACGAGACGAAGCCTCTCCAGCTGAAGCCCCAGGAAGCTCCCGTCGAACAGCCTTCTCCGCCCGACTCCCCGGTGGTGCTCCTCTCTGAAGCGAGCACGCCCGTGCCACTCGGCAACAAGGACGGCATCGTGGACCCCGCGAGCACCGAGTCCGAGGCCGTCGCCGCCGTCACCGAGC